GCGCTCCCCCTCTCCTTGCGATGCCCGCCGGGCCGTGCTGCCTGCAGGCAGGACGTGGCTAGGGCAGCGCCTGCAGCAGCGTGACCGGCCCTGCGTGAGGAGGGGCTGCCGGTGGATTTGGTTTTATGAAGTAGGTTGAGACCCCGCTCTTCGCTGCTGCAGCCCTTCTGGTGCTGTGTTGAAGCCACAGCTTTGCGTCTGCAGAAAACCACTTTCATTCAGCTCCAGCTGTGGGATAAGCACCCTTTTGGCAGAGACTGCAGCCCCTTACGGCCATTTTATGAAGCAGTTCGTGGCCTCGGTATTGGTTGCATGTGTAAAGCTTAAAACATAAGCCTGCTTGGAAAAAATTTAAGCTGGGGCCAGGGCAGCTGAGTCCCGATATACACTGGCAGTTGAGCACACCAGCATAAATGCAACGGAGAGAAAATTTAACAAAAAGTCAGCGTTGTGTCTTGGGCCGTCCCAGGCCTGTGCAGTGAGTCAGTGGAGTCCAGGTGCTGAACTGAACGGGAAGCAGAGCCTCACCTTTGCATGGACCCCGGCTGCTTTGCTGTGCGTTGCTGACGAGTAATACTGGTTACTGTTGGAAAACAGAAGTGGGCAGTTACAAAGACACAGCTGAGTTTGAGGGCAGGAGTAGGGAATTGCCTTCCAGGGCAGGAAGGCAGGCTGGGTGGTTCGGCTCTGCAGTCTCCTAAAGGAGAGCACAGTCAGTTCTTGAGACTTCCCGGGAGTTTCTTAGGGAGATTCATCTGGAGGACTAAGAAAGTGGAGCCAGTGACATTATATTGACTCCACTGATACTATCCTCCTAAATTAAATGGTGGAAGAACAAGGCCTGCCTGTGAGATAAAGTCAGGACCTACTTCGTCTGCCTACAAGGTTTTAATGGCAATTAGAGGGAGCAAGCGAAAAGTCGTGTCTCTCTGTAGAAAATGGTGGGTGTCTTTGGTTTGAATCGAACACAGTAAACCGTATTTCAGGGCTGTTGTGTTGCCTGTTGTGTTTGTGCTTTTGGCATTGTCTCAGAGGGCTGTTGTGTTGCCTGTTGTTGTGTTTGTGCTTTTGGCATTGTCTCACCTGTGTGTGTTTGCTCACAGGCCCGTGGGTCCCTTTGTGCCCGGCTCCAGGACTGGGTGAGGAGGGATGCTGGACGTGCTGAAGGATTATGGTAACCAGTTTGGAAATTGTTAACTGTCTGTTTAGCCCCAGACTGCTTGCGTAAACCTGTCTGATAACCGGTGCAGCCTTGTGAAAGGGCTTCGTGTGATGCCCTCCAGTGGCAACAACGTGTACTGATACTTTAAATCAAGAGGGAACAGAAGGGAATTGCAAAAAGTGATCCTTTTTGCCCAGCCTAAAGGGGTTTGAGGGTGAGTCCTGCTAAGCCCAAGGGCCTTTGGGCAGCCGTGGCAAGGTCCCCGGTTAGCTGCTGGGTGAGGCGTGGTTGGGGATATCTCATCCTTTGGCAGTTCCTGCTGCCACAAGCTCTGCAGGGGTGCAGAGATCGCTGCTGCAAATCAGGGCAGCCTGTGGGGCTCAGGTGGCCAATACCAGAGCTTTAGGCGTGAGCCCCTGTCCTTCGCAGGAGATGAATTTTGCTGTGTGCCAGTAAATGCTCATAGTGAAAAGGAACAGGAAGAAAAACGCCAACAGGTACCAGGAAAAATGCATATTGCAGCACATAACTCACTGTCAGAGACAGGGACAACTCATTTTTAACTGGCTGTTGTCCTTTCACATGATCTAGTTCAGCAGTGAGCCAGCATTCCTGTGGACAGGCCAGAGATGAGAACTGTTTTTGCCTCATCTGAGACACCTTTCAATGCAAAGAAATAGCTCTCAGATCGACAGCTCAACACAGTTCTCCAAGATGAGTGCTATCCCCAGGATTCCAGATAAACGGAATACACTTGGTGTTATCCTGCTCTGGGGTGCCGTGCTGGACCTGTTCATGCCCTTTAGCTTCAGTAGGAGGCTCCCCTTTTACTGTCAAATACAGCTTCCAGTGCTGTGCGGGGTTTGGCCCTTACTCACAGTCATACAGCACTTCCCCGTCTGGTGGACTTACATGGAAGGACGAGGTTGAGTCATACAGCACTTCCCCTGACTGGTGGACTTACATGGAAGGACGAGGTTGGTGTGAACATCCAGCTTGGGTGCCGTACTGGTCTGGTCAGTAGACCCTGTAGTGGAAGTGGTGGCCTCCCCGTAAAGGATTTGTGTAAAGGTGATTCACGGGGAGAGCTGGTTTTAAAAAATTCAGGTTGTTCATGCCTTTTCTTTGCTGTATAAATATTTAAGTGACAGGGTTGGGATTCCTAAGGGAGGAAATGCTTGGGTTATTGCTGACAGGTGAAGCTTTTATTAAACAGAAACATGCAGACTCATTTCCCATATCGTTTTTAACCTAGTAGCCAATTACTGCTTATTTGTTCTTTTTTCAGAGAGTTCTGTTGCTGCCTTAGCTGTCCTGTACCACGCCTGGCGATGACCACTGAGTCATATTCTGCTGTGCAGGCTGCTCCGTACTCGGCCATCAGGCCTGCATCCTCCAACAGATTCATCAAGCTGGCAACGTAATGACAGAGCTGTTTGGTACCCACGCCAAGGGTGTCCGATCACCTCGCATTTGGCTCAGAAAATCTGTCCTTGCAGCAGTCCTGTGGGAGGGTTGTGAAGTCCCGGGGACTCCCAGGGCAGTTCACCAGTTGAGAAATGGTTTGGATTGGGTTCTTAGATCATCCGAGGTGAACGGCTAGTCCTGGCGCCAGGATACAGGTATGGTTTAAACACTTGAGGTGAAAGCTGTTGGTGGGGAGCGGTGGGGACCGTTCACAACAGAACATCTGCTTTCCTCAGAATCGTCGGGTTCACCAGCAGTCTTTCTGCATTAAAGGCTTTGTTGGGAGGTTCAGACGTCCTCATACCTCTGCTCTGATACTTGCGTGTTTTACTCTTTCCGATATCTACTTGAAAAGAAGAGTGTGGCTCTTGATTTTTGGCAGATAAAAGTAAAACAGTGGGTGGAAGTTGGACCCTGCATCAAGGCATACATTTTTAAGCAAAGAAAAAAAAGGTGTTAAAACAACTTGGGTGGTGCTATCTCACCACTTCATTCCCCGGCAGAGGAGCCGTACACCTTAGGTGCTGTTCTCTGGTACGGCCTTGCCAATGTCAGCAGGGCTCACGTGGCCACCTCCTGCCCTCTGCATTGGCAGTGGTTGCTGGCTGAGTCACCTGCTTCTGCTGGACACGAGTTGTTGTGCTCGCTGCGAGACAGCAGCTGAAAGTCTCTGGCCTGCCTTACAGGGTGTCTGACAAAGTGACCGTAACGACCCTTTCTGCCCTGGAAATCTCTGAATTCCTGGTAGGCTAAGAAATGACACTGTACTTGCATAGCTGAGCGTCGCTAAACCCATCTTCTTTTGAGGCTTGCAAAACAAATAGATACCCAAGAGAAGATGGTACTAATTGCTGCCGTCATGACGTATTCAGCTCCTGTTTTTATGGTTTCTGCAAAGCCTGTTTTGGGGAGACTTTTTTTTTTAAGCTATCTGGGGAAGAACAGACAAGCTTTTGGCACACGGTTCTACATCAAATCTCTTCAGTTTTGCCAGGCTCTGTTTCTTTGTAGGCACCCTGTATATTGTAGAGGCTGCCGCCTGTTCCTGACTGTGCCCTAGAATGGAAACTTGAACCAATGATTGTTGTAATGAATGTGCAATAAATCTGTGGAAAAACTTGTCTGTTAATGCCTCTTGATTGAATTCAGGTAGTTTTGACATACAGAAATGAGGCTGTTTAGAGCTAGACAAGCCTGCTTGACAGGCAGTGCCTGTCTGATTATCTGGTGTCTGGAAATGAAGCCTGAAGAAGGGCATTTCAGCTGAGCGCTGGGCCAGCCCCCACCGGACACGCAAAGCTTCAAGGACACAGCATCAGGGGTGAGAAGTTCTCGGTGCCGAGGGGGAGAACAGATCTGCGAGTGTGGAGGATACACCCAGGTGGAGGTGAGCGTGGCCAAAAAGAACAAGCTAAAAATGGTGCTTTAGATTTCCCTACAGGGGCAATCAAGCACTGCAAAAGGCCTCAGGTTGTGTTTTGTTTTTTCCCTGGATGGATGAATGAGAGCATGGGCATTCTGTAAAAATGTCTTTTAATATTTGAGACTGTAGAGCATGCTTGGGTATTTCAAAAAGTGTGTGGTAGGCGCTAACAGTTCACACACAAGGGAGGCGTACTTGATTATCTTGTGTCACAGACTTCATGTAGCGACAAGAATACGTGATTGTGAGATCAGCTTCATGGCTGGAGTGTTTTCAGCTCTGTCTAGCAGCTGTGCAGTGATAATGCCTTTTGCTATTTTTGTTTTAATTTTTAGTTCCACAGCAGACACAAGAGTGGAATTAATGATTGCTCTGGAACAGGGGAGTTCCCTAGGCATCAAATGGGTCCTGAGGGAACCAGTGATGCAGCTGCCACTGCTGCTTGGTGACAGTGTCAGCTCTGAGAAGGATGGTATCCATTTCTAACTGGAGAATTCTGGGATGCTGATGGATCTTGTGACCATAATGGTTTTCTGCTAAGACCCTACCTAAGAGGACAGAAACTGTCGTAAGGGCTCAGACCTGGCAGCTGGTTTGGGTCAGGGTTGCTTTGTTCTCTTTCTTGGGAGGCAGCTGGTTTATAGGGAGCGTGATGGAGCAGTTAATGCTGAAAGGGCATTGCTCAATGCAGGTTACGTGTAGATGTGGCAGCTGCAGAACACAGGTTATGGGAGGGCAGTCCACGGGGGTATTGCAATTCCAGTATGTATCCGTAGGATACCAGGTGTTTCCAAAACAAAGCAGGGGTGGACGTAATGCTGGAAGTGTGAGTTGAACGCGTAAAGGTGCTGGCCAATATCTGCATTGAAAAATGACAGTCTGCAGTTCTCGTAGTCGAGCAGGATGCCAATCCTTCTGGGGGCGACAGTAATTCTGACGTCTGGCGTCATCCCGCTGTGCAGGAATTCGTACTTGTGCCTGTAGGCAAGAAACATAGACAAAAAACCTGAGGGCACCCTGGCTGCTCTCAAAGGGAAGCGCTTTGTGCACATGGGTGTGTTCCAGAGCGTGCTTCCTGCTTCACAGTCCCATCCCTCCTGTGTGCCCTGCGGTTACTGCCCCAGTCCCATCCACTTTGCTGAGCAATGGCTGTGTTTGCCGAGGAGTGGTGTGCTCCGCGCTTCCGCACAGCCTTATCCCGCAGTGCTCAGACCTGCCTGTCTAACCTGTGTAACAGGCCTCTTGTTTCATATCCCGGTCTGGCTGCGAATGGATGGGTGGTAGCCCTTAGATATGGACAAGGTCAGAGCGCAGCATGGGACTTCCCATTTTTTTCTGTGTCTCAGAGGGCAGTGTGGGTGTCCTGTAAATCGGAGGGTACACCCTTGCCACTAGGTTTAGCCTGAAGTTGTCTCTTCCTTCATGAAGGAGCTGTGTTCTGTTAGGCCACTTAGGCTTGCCCCAGAACAATGCTTGTCATCCCCTCAGCCTTGCCCCTAGATAGGTGTTGGGCACCGCCAAGGAGAGAGTTGGTGAGATGACTCAGTCCTGTCCTTCCAGGTCCTGCCATGCTGCCTGCTTGTGCCCTGAGGGCCTGTGGTACTGAGCCCTCTTCCCTGCCAAAGTTACGGGAACTGTTCAGGCCCACCTTCACAGCAGCAGCGAGGGAGCGTAATCCCTTGGGCAGAGGCTGCCTGGCTCACAGTGTGGCTAGGCATCGTCCAGACTATTGGACATAATTTTTCAAACCCCGCTCTCTAAATGACGTTTCTGGCTGCTTTTCCTACAGGACCTCCCTGCTTAGCCAGGGCGGTGTTGATGGGGAAGTTCCAGTCTTCGTGCTCCTTTACTAAAGGATGACATATTTTAATTGTGATTCCTGGACTGTGGAGGCCAGGAAGGTGCTCTGTATGTCAGCAGCTTTGTCATGAGGGTAGCCCTCTCCTTCCCCGTGTAGTCGCCGTTCGAGTACTGTTGAGGTTCTTCAACAGTTACTCAAACAGCTCTCCCTAGTGCGGCACGCTGCAACCAAAAATATGAGACTTTTATGGGAACATGTGCCTTTCTGAGCAGAAATGAGAAGATTTATTCAGCTGAAGTGAGTTATCTGGCATTTCATAAGGGCCAGCTTCTTCACTAACCACCTCCTCCACCCACACCGCTCAAACCTGAGAAAAATTCCCTGCAGAAATGGGTATGACAGTGACTCAAACTGAGCAATGGCCCAAGCTGCCTTTTCTCTCTGAAGTCCATGCTCATTGCTCCAGAAGAATGAGAACAAACCTCAATGTACCTCTTAGCTCAACGTAGCAAGGAAATCAAATTAGTCTGCCCACAGTGTATGGGAGAGTCATTAGTGTTAGTGGGTTTGGTCTCTCTCATTAAGCAGCATTTCTTGCTGTGTGGGAGGCGAATGCCAGCACTGCGAAGGACTCTGGCTATGCAGTGGACCAACTGCTGGGGAGCTGAGAGCAGCAGGCGCCTGGGGAGGAGCGTGTGCTCCAGCCAGCTGAGCTGCATCTAAAACCTCTCCCTGCGTACCAGCAGGCAGAGGACAGGCAGATTTGGGCCTGTGCTACGCCATCCTTACCATTTGCTGACTGTGCGTGCTGGGGACACCCAGGTGGTATCCAGGCGCCCTGTTCAAAGGGACCCAGCAGCACCCTGGCAACTCTTGCAGGCTGAGCGGTGAGCCATTCAGACAGGCAGTAGGCAATACTCAGGCATGCCTGGGGGTGTGACTTGTTTTCTTGCTCCTGGATGCTTCACAGGGTGCCCAAATCTCACATGGGAGTCAAAGGCAATGATGCTAATATGGTGTCCGGGGAAGAGCCAGCAGGTTCAGCTGAAGCATAAGGGGAGCTGGCATTTCTGCACGCAGGTATGGCTGTTAGGTACTTCCATGGGTGGGAGAGAGATCAAAACCGGTTGCATACAACTGTGTTTAGCCAGATACGTAGTTTCTAGCTTACATGGATCTATTACTCTCTGCCTTCCCACTGGGGTTTCGGTGACCTAAAACAAAGCCTTTACAGCTAACTTCTGTAATGCAGATTTTATTCAGATTTGTTCCTGCGACTGCCTATTTCAATGTGAGGATGTCATTAAGCAGGAGGATTTGCTTAAAGGTTCCAGTATCCTTCCAACAGCAGTTCACCGTGCCAACGGTGGAATGTCAGGGGCCCCTGGTTAAGTGCTTGGTCTGGACTTTGATATAAAATCTCTGGCTGCCCCCTGCAAGTAGGAGCTCTCTCTGCTGCTCTGCCTGCAGGTGTAAATGTAGGAGGTGTTCCTGTAGGGAGACCTGTAGCCTCCACAGCCCTTACCTCGATGGAGTGATGATATGCCTCATGCACCAGGATGAGTTGTTTGCCCCCAGATAACCATGTCTCGGAGTGTTTTCAAAAGCCACGCCGATTCTGTACTCTGTATCTTCCTCAACTTCCACCTCCCAGTAATGCTTTCCTGGAAATGGGATCAGACTTCCCAGGATCCCAATACACCTGTGGGAGACAAGACAGGAATATGTGCTTTGGCAGGGACTCTGCAATGCTATTTACAGTGTTTAGGTATGTAATGTACCTGGACATTACATATCAATAAACAAAAGCCACTTTTGCTGTCTCCTTAGCGGTGCAGCACGGATTTTTGACTACAGCAAAGTCCACGTGTTGAGGACCTGACACAGAACCTGCAGGTTTCTTTGCGACACCTACCTTGTTTTTACCTGTGGGTAGCTTTGCACAACTGAGTGCCTGGGGCACTTTCAGGAATAGGGAGAACAGCATCCTGTGCTGCCTGGGTTTTCTGGGAAAGTTATTACTTGCTAGAAAAGAGTGCTCTGGTGAACCCCAGTATAGCAGGGGGAAAAGGCTACAGATTTTGTATTTTCTTCCTAAACAGCCCAGGGCTTTACATGTCATTCACCATCAGGAATGGAGCACTCTGAGAGCATGAAACTCCTGGGGCAGTTGGGGAGGAGGAGACTTGCTTAAGCTGTGTTTGGAGAGACCAGCAAGAATTGAACACGGTAGCAGAGCTTGGAATATGCTTAGGTACCTGAGCCGTGAAAGGTTTTAACAGTAGACTGTGGTTCCTAGCCTTTATGATAGGAACCATGTAGAAGATGACTCTTTAAAAAGATGTGTAGGAGAGACAGACAAAGACAATATACCACAGAGAGACCCTTCAGCTTGATTTACAGGCACAGTCTCAGAGTCAAAGGAGCTGGGCACTTTGAAGATGCAAGTCTGCAAAAACACAGGTTCTGAAGCAAGAAAGTTGGGCAAAATAACCCATGCCAAATGCTTCTGAAACACCCTAACTCTATTTAAGAGGGCAACATGAATCCTGTAAGACTACACCCCAGCTTTTGCTCAGGGAAAGTACACGGTGTATTAGCTGTCATTGCTGCATCACAGGGGATAGCAGGTTGCAAAACACTTCCAGTTTTGGATGGGGAGTCACACACAACCTGTATGTTTCTGTGGTAGGGTCATCTACAGTTGTAAATTACAAAGACAAAGGATGTTGCTGGCAGACACTGAGCTCGTCTGCCTCTAGGTAATGCTGAGAAAGAGCTGCACTCGGCATTCGGAGGGCCTGATGTGTAAGGACAGGCATGCACAGCAAGACAGCTGTACTCTGTGCCACCTCAGCAGCAATCACTTAAAGCAAGTGTACAGTTCATTACAAGTGCATGTAGATGTCTTGGAAATAGCTTAAAGGCTGCTGAAATCTGGACTCAGAGGTATCCAGGCGCCCTGTTCAAAGGGACCCAGCAGCACCCTGGCAACTCTTGCAGGCTGAGCGGTGAGCCATTCAGACAGGCAGTAGGCAATACTCAGGCATGCCTGGGGGTGTGACTTGTTTTCTTGCTCCTGGATGCTTCACAGGGTGCCCAAATCTCACATGGGAGTCAAAGGCAATGATGCTAATATGGTGTCCAGGGAAGAGCCAGCAGGTTCAGCTGAAGCATAAGGGGAGCTGGCATTTCTGCACGCAGGTATGGCTGTTAGGTACTTCCATGGGTGGGAGAGAGATCAAAACCGGTTGCATACAACTGTGTTTAGCCAGATACGTAGTTTCTAGCTTACATGGATCTATTACTCTCTGCCTTCCCACTGGGGTTTCGGTGACCTAAAACAAAGCCTTTACAGCTAACTTCTGTAATGCAGATTTTATTCAGATTTGTTCCTGCGACTGCCTATTTCAATGTGAGGATGTCATTAAGCAGGAGGATTTGCTTAAAGGTTCCAGTATCCTTCCAACAGCAGTTCACCGTGCCAACGGTGGAATGTCAGGGGCCCCTGGTTAAGTGCTTGGTCTGGACTTTGATATAAAATCTCTGGCTGCCCCCTGCAAGTAGGAGCTCTCTCTGCTGCTCTGCCTGCAGGTGTAAATGTAGGAGGTGTTCCTGTAGGGAGACCTGTAGCCTCCACAGCCCTTACCTCGATGGAGTGATGATATGCCTCATGCACCAGGATGAGTTGTTTGCCCCCAGATAACCATGTCTCGGAGTGTTTTCAAAAGCCACGCCGATTCTGTACTCTGTATCTTCCTCAACTTCCACCTCCCAGTAATGCTTTCCTGGAAATGGGATCAGACTTCCCAGGATCCCAATACACCTGTGGGAGACAAGACAGGAATATGTGCTTTGGCAGGGACTCTGCAATGCTATTTACAGTGTTTAGGTATGTAATGTACCTGGACATTACATATCAATAAACAAAAGCCACTTTTGCTGTCTCCTTAGCGGTGCAGCACGGATTTTTGACTACAGCAAAGTCCACGTGTTGAGGACCTGACACAGAACCTGCAGGTTTCTTTGCGACACCTACCTTGTTTTTACCTGTGGGTAGCTTTGCACAACTGAGTGCCTGGGGCACTTTCAGGAATAGGGAGAACAGCATCCTGTGCTGCCTGGGTTTTCTGGGAAAGTTATTACTTGCTAGAAAAGAGTGCTCTGGTGAACCCCAGTATAGCAGGGGGAAAAGGCTACAGATTTTGTATTTTCTTCCTAAACAGCCCAGGGCTTTACATGTCATTCACCATCAGGAATGGAGCACTCTGAGAGCATGAAACTCCTGGGGCAGTTGGGGAGGAGGAGACTTGCTTAAGCTGTGTTTGGAGAGACCAGCAAGAATTGAACACGGTAGCAGAGCTTGGAATATGCTTAGGTACCTGAGCCGTGAAAGGTTTTAACAGTAGACTGTGGTTCCTAGCCTTTATGATAGGAACCATGTAGAAGATGACTCTTTAAAAAGATGTGTAGGAGAGACAGACAAAGACAATATACCACAGAGAGACCCTTCAGCTTGATTTACAGGCACAGTCTCAGAGTCAAAGGAGCTGGGCACTTTGAAGATGCAAGTCTGCAAAAACACAGGTTCTGAAGCAAGAAAGTTGGGCAAAATAACCCATGCCAAATGCTTCTGAAACACCCTAACTCTATTTAAGAGGGCAACATGAATCCTGTAAGACTACACCCCAGCTTTTGCTCAGGGAAAGTACACGGTGTATTAGCTGTCATTGCTGCATCACAGGGGATAGCAGGTTGCAAAACACTTCCAGTTTTGGATGGGGAGTCACACACAACCTGTATGTTTCTGTGGTAGGGTCATCTACAGTTGTAAATTACAAAGACAAAGGATGTTGCTGGCAGACACTGAGCTCGTCTGCCTCTAGGTAATGCTGAGAAAGAGCTGCACTCGGCATTCGGAGGGCCTGATGTGTAAGGACAGGCATGCACAGCAAGACAGCTGTACTCTGTGCCACCTCAGCAGCAATCACTTAAAGCAAGTGTACAGTTCATTACAAGTGCATGTAGATGTCTTGGAAATAGCTTAAAGGCTGCTGAAATCTGGACTCAGAGAGGCTGTGCTGCTATAGCTTGAGAAGGAAAAGGAATGATGCAAAATGGATGGGTAAACATCTGTGAACAAAATATTACCGTAGTAATGAGAGTTGCAAAGCCACCAAGGCAAACTTGAGTCAGACCGTAGGAGCTGCTGTGGTTAGGAAACACATTGGTCTTTCGGAGATCACACAAACTTCAGAAAGAAGAGTTTGCAATGTAATTTCCTTATAGTATGAGTGTTAGTCATTTCAGCTTGGGAGCTTTTTCTTTTTTTTTTTTTTCCCCACAGTATCTTGGCATGAAAGAGGCTTCTGAGAGTTCACTGTGGCATCAAAAACTCAGCCTCAGAGTTCAGAGTGAGATGAGTGCCAGTTCTGGCTGTTTATGTGAAACATAAAAGCACCCAGTGGAAGTGGGATGAAATCCCATTTAGGCTTATCATGATGACTTTAATGAAGAGAATCTTCTACCTCCTGACTCTTTTCTACTGAGCCTTCTAGTAACATTGCATTTCCATGGAGGGACTAAGTTGTGGGCTTGTATTAGTCTGTGTCTGCAGATGCCCGTCCTGGTTATATGTTGTTTCCGTGGTTCTGACTGGAAACATGCATTTTGGCAAGCTAAGTCTCTCATTTCAATGGCAAAGGGCGTAATTCTGTTTTGAAAGTAAAATCTGTAGGCCCAAATAGTATCAGCTAGATCTTTCAGCAAGAGGTAAGTATTCAGATCCCTCTCCTTTTCTTAGTGTTTGCTTTGGCACTGAAATACCTGTTCAAATTTAGCTGAAGGTGCCCAACATGTAAGCAGGTTTGTATGTAATTGTGTCTGGCTGCATCTGTAATCCTCTTTATGAACTTGCATTAACTTCCAAGTGATGCTTAAGTTCCAAAGAGCAGCTAGAGAGAGAGATTTAAACTCAGGAAATCAATGAGAGCTGCTGAAAGCCCCATTAGACACTTCCTGGCATCTCTTTAAAAAAACCCAAACAGGCCAACTGTGCTTTGAAGCCTCTTTCAAAGAAGAGGGTCAGGTGCCCAAAGCACCAATAGGTTTTTTTGCCCATTCTGTAGTATTTGCTGTAGTGAACAAGTTTTAAATAAGATGAGCGTTTGGTGGTTTCCATTGGACAGAGCTCTATAAAAACAGCCCCCAAACCTCCACGTGTGAAAACGAGACCGAGCAAGGATGGGCAGAGCCTCCTGCACATTATGCGCAAGGCTCTATCACCTCAGCAGCTTGCAGAGGAAAGGGCAGGAGTGAGGGAGCTACAGCCAGCAGAGAGAAGCAGCTCCTCAAGTCCTGGAAGTGTGCAAGTGCTGGATCACTGTAATTAAGAGAACCTAATGATTATGCCTTTTTTTTTTTTTTAAATCCCACTAGTGCTGTATTAAGAGTATATGGGGTTTGGTTGGTTTTTTTTCTTGTGACATTTTTCTGCGGTTTTTGGGCTCTGTAAAGAATTAAACGGGAAGAAAGTTTTGGAATTTAACAGAAGTCGGTGCACACATCATGCAAAGGGAGATGTTGTAGATAATATGTATTAGTCACCCTAGAAATTCTCAGAGCAACAAGCCACAGGGAGTTCAGTAATGGTGCTCAGGAACAATAACCCCAGTGAAACTATGGGGCCTGGATAAATGGATACGGAGTTTTACTCTCCAAGGAACTATGGGGAAAGCCTACCGTTTCAAACTGAATAGTTATCTTAGGAGTCCAACTTGAAATACCTTAAAATAAATCTGATTTTCTAGAAAATGAGTAATCCATATTTTAAAAGGACCGACAAATATGTTTGCAGTTGTCTAAAACTGAAGACAACCATAGTCACTTATGCGAAAACCAAGATGGAAAAAAACACTATAGGTTATACACACACATACAGTCTGGAAGTTTTACTTGGTTGGTGCCTGGCTTGAAAGTGAGGAGAGCTGCAATGACCAGTAAACCTTTTTAGTGGATTTAAATTCAGGGTAGGGGTGTGTTGTGGGCGAAGCAGCCACAAACCACATGCATTAGTTGCAACTGAAATTCTTCTGTATACCTTGCATTAGTTGCAACTGAAATTCTTCTGTATACCTTGTAAAGCTGTTATCATAGACAGGCAGATCACACTCCGGGTTTTCCAGTTCATCGCATGCAATTGTAAATCCATCATCTAGAATTGCCAGTAAAGGATGGGCTGTGTCCTCGTTAAGGCAGAAGTAGGTGCCTGCAAGAGAGGAGAATGCCTGAGGGTAACTCCAGCAACTCCTTATGGCATTAGGGTTTGCAGCAAGGGTGTGGTGAAATGTTGTTTGGATCCACAAAAAGATTAACCAGTGCTCTGGAAGGAATCTGTGGTTGACATTGAGAGGACAAGGTTGTCCATTTGGAGTTTTTCAAATAAATGGGTGTTTTACAGCTTAATACTGTTTAGTTATAGCCTTGTGAAAAAGAGAAAAGGGGTCTTAACCTGGTTTTGAACCCAGTCAGGGCTCAAAGGTGCAGGCGTTGCGCAGGAAGTAGCTATTCAAAGGTGAGGGGTCCTCCCTGCAATGGACTGCCCGGTTTCAATCTTCCTCAGAGCTGAAGTGATCTATTTTTAATCACTGAAAGGAGAAGGGGGGCTTAAAGGCCTCTCCATGGCCCCACTCTTCCATGCCAGGCACAGTTTGAAGAGAAGGAACCTCTACAAAGGTGCCACACGCAACATCCTTCATGCTTCAGCACCTCCTCTGAGCACCTGATCTGAATGAGCCCTCAGAGAGGTAAGTCAGCTAAGCCAGCCCAGGATAAAAGTACTTCTGCCTTTCTCCCTTTGGAGACTTCACAAAGCAGGTCTGATGCACTGCATTCTGATGAGCAGCCACGTGCGTCACAGCTGCTGTTTGTAGTTGGTGCTTGTGTATCCACCCCAGTAAGTAAGAATGAAAGGTCATTCGCAGTGTTGGAGGTGAGCGCTTGCAGCTGACAGATCAATTTGCATCAGCTGTTTGCATAGTGTAGACTCAGTTTGCATAATGTAGACTCCGAGAAGATAAATCTCTCCAAATGAAATCATTATAATCAAACTGCAAATTACTTCAATGCAAATACAATACAAACAATGACAGGGCAATTACAGGCATGTGCTGCTGAAAACAAACACATGCTGTGCAAGCAGAATTGGCAATTTCAAATATTGAGTTTGATTTAAGTAGTTGAAATACACATGAACAGTGGTAAGACAATGACAGTCTTCCTCTCCAAAGATTTAAGAATGATCATTTCTTTTCTCTGGTGCCACTGATGTGTAGCAGACACATTTCTTACTGAAACATAGCCTTTCGCAGATTAATGGGTGTGTGGTCAGCTTGCTGAATAAGCACAATTTGCAAATCTCTCGCAGAAGAGACACAGGTATGGTGCGAATGCATCTGTGAGTGATGTGGGAGGTTTGAGACACCCCAGTGAAGTTGCAGAGTCATTATAGCAGTGGTGAAGATGAAAACAGGTTGCTACCTGTAAGTCATTAAAACAAGCTTTGATTAGATGGTTGGGAGGGGAAAGGGACTTCCCTTTGGGGGAGAAGCTTAATCCTTGCCCAGCGTGGCACTGAAAGCAGAGATGATAATGCTATGTCAGTTACCAAAAGCAAAGCTTCCAGCTGAAAGCTGTGACTGCCTTTTTCCTGAGGAATAAAGGGAACCAGCCCTCAGAGCTTCCCCAGCCAAGCTGGAGACGTTCTATATACATACACGGGAAGACTTTGCATATCCAAATGACTCTGGAAAGTGCTGACTGACTGTCTCAGCCATACTTTCCAGCAGCAGCAGCGTTACAAGGTAATCTCTGAAGTAAACTAAAATCACACTACAACTTTCACAACTTTCTTCATTGGTGTGTCAGTACTTGGCAAGCTGGCAACATCTGGGGTCGTTGGGTTGATCTAGTCTTTTAAAATGTTTAGACATTAGTAACTTTCAAGTATCAAATGTACTGGACAGAAACAATTTTGAATTACAGAGCTAAAGCAATGCACTTATTGTTACAAAAAGTGTTTTTTTCATTCCTAAAAGGTTACCAGGTGTGTAATTAGATGTAAGAGATTAGGACCTGATCCAGAGGCCATTGAAACCAGCAGGAATCTTTCTGTTGAGATAATAGATGCTACAATAGGCTGCTGGAGTTGATCCGAGCTGTACAGTACCTGTGGTGTGTATCAGGACAGGTTCACTTCTTTCACTGGAACCACCCAGGTTTAGGGCTCTAACACAGATGCGATAGCTTTGTGTTGGCTGGAGGTGAATTAGGACTTCACAGTTAGGAATCCCAACAATAGATCTACAGAAAATAAATTCAGGGAAAATGATAGGGTAGAGAACAAAGGTAGGCCTCTGAGATCATTTTTCTGAACGACACAGAAGAAATTACATGATCAGCTTCTCTCGTAACCCATCAACAACACTTTAACTTGCACAGTTGTCAGTAGCGGGGGTAAGAGAGAGTCTGTGACAGACTATGCAGATTTTTACATTTGCTTCTGCCCTTTTCCCATACCCTGTATAGTCATTTTCGATTAACATTTATACAATTAATTTTACTAACAGGAATGTTTATAAAGGTGAATTCATCAAAGGGTCCCGAGTCCTTTCTTAGTGCTATCTGATGCCACGTGACTTGAAATGGTTTCATCTCTACCGGTCATGGACTCGATAGAATAGTGACTCACTCAGTAATAATATCGCCATTTTCTTCATCTGTCAGCTTGGACAATTCAACCATATAGGAATCAACAGGGTTAATGTCTCTAGATTCCCAGCACACCAGTGCTGCATTTTCACAGCTTCGGATCTTTTTACTCTTTATGGTAGGTGGTGAAGGAGCTAAAAAGTAGGCAAAAGAACAATTCTAAGCTGTTGCTTGAAGAGGTTTGCAACAAACATGCTTTGAAGACTTAAAAAATAGAACAAAGTTGTTTACTAATACTATATAGTTAAAGAAACCTGCTTCCCCAGTGGACAATAAACAGCAGGCAGGGTGGTTAACAGTACTATTCAAAGACTTAATTTGGACTATAAAGGTCCCAAGAGAATTAATCAGAGAAGTAACATACATAGAGACTGATTACACAACTCTTTTCTTTTTATCATTGGTTTTATTTTTGTCATAAAGGTGCATCTCTTCTCTGCTCTAAGATGTCAAAGACATCTTGGAATGAGTTCTTGAAGGTCTCACTCTGACTTGCTCAATTTGATGTCAGGATTTCACAAAAAAGAACCAGGGTCTGTAATTAATCTTGTTGCAGTTCAGCTATTGGGAAGAATTCCTGAAGACAAGCCACACTAATCAAATTGTGCTTGACTGAACTGCAGTTACAAAGGGCAGCATAGCAGGTGAATCCACAAAATATATACAGGCCAAGAAAAGGAGGGCTGGCATCCATCTGGCAGAACTGGGAGACTTGAGCCTTATTCCCAGCCCTCCTACATGCTTGCATTTAAATAAGTTATTTTGTCTCTGTGCTTCTGTTTCTTCAACTCTAAACCAGGGACAATTGCCCTGATAGGCTCTCCAAATAAAAATAGGAAATTCCCCTGCAGTCAGTAGACTTACATCGGAAGAAACAAAGCGCCCAGAAAGCATTACTGGCATAAAATTCAGAGATGACTGTGAATTTCACTATGAAGGTCACATAGTCATATGAATAAAATATTTTTACCTGTTACATAAACTGCTCTTTCACTTGGTGGACTGATACCAGAGGCATTTAAAGCACTGACCCAAAATTCATACTGTGTATTCGGCAACAAATTAGTAATGGTGCAGTATGTTTCTTTGACTTTTAGCGTATGCTCTGAAATGAAAACAACAAAGCATTTACAGTGCCTTTACACAGTTACCCACCCTTACCCAAAGCTGCCTCAAATAATGGAGTTGAGGTGCATTGTTTTGTGTGCTGAGTTCAAGAGAGCTCCTTGTGCTCCATACCCTTTAATTAGCTGTCAGGCTGTTTCACCATGCCTTCCTCTAAGGAGGCATAAATCAGGTAACGCATCAGCTTCTGAAGGAGCCACATCACTCAGGAAAAAAAAAAACCCAGAAAGAAAGGTCACCCAGCTGTCACTGAATTTTTTCTAAAAAGACCCTGCACGTTCCCACTCTGGGGATGCTGTCTGGTCAGCTCAACCCAGCAGTGGGACAAGAGCTGAAGCTATTTCACTACTCATTTCTCATTCTTCATCTTATAAAATTTGGACAGTTTCTGCTTTTTTTTCTGAACTGGCCACTTGGCACTACTGGCTCCCACTTTTGCTGGAGAAGTGACTGGGCGTTTTCAGGAAAAGGTTCTGCAAGAATATTATTAGCAAAGGCAATTTCGTCACAAGGCTGGGAAGGTTCTGCAAGAATATTATTAGTAAAGGCAGTTTCGTCACAAGGCTGGGACCTTTTAGGATGGTCCTGTGGTTCTTTTTTTGTGTGTGTAGGTGATGGGGAGTTACAGCCTATTATTAGCACTGAGATAAACTGTAAGATGACTGTGGGGGTTTCAGTGGGTGTGCCGATAATATGATGATTCGCTCTCTAAAAATACTGTGCCTTGCAGTGGATGCAGCGCATGCATGTCTAACGCAGTGCCCACCCCCCAGGAAAAGAAGTGCTACTGTTGAGACCTGACTCCATCCACTGTCCCCTTCCCACTCCTGCTACCCCAGCTGCTGTCCCGTCCTGTCTTTGCTCCTGTGATGGGTCCTGCTGCAGCCAGTAGCTTGGCAAACCTGGCAGGGGAAGAGCGACAAAGCCAGAAGCAGGAAATGTGGTGGCAGATATGACAGTTTTGGTGGCGGAGAGAGTGCACAGAAGGTGCACTGGTTGCCACAGCAAGTCCAGAGGCACCTTGGAACTAGCTGTTTTTGCCAGTGGGGAGCTGAGGTGTCCCCTTGGGTCCAGGCCTCCTTACCTGCTTGTTCATCGCTGTGCTTCTCGTTGCTCACTGGTTTATAGCACAGTTGGTAGCACTCAACAGTGTCATCTGAGAAGAGGCCCCAGCAAACTCTCAGTGAGGTGCCAGTTGCTGCATTGGGAGCCTGGGGATTGATCACAGGGGCACAAGGAGCTACAGGGAGGAAAACAGGTCAGTTTTTTAATGTATAAGCATGGTATGTTGTTCACAGGCAAACACCTCTCCTCTCACAAAGGTGTTTACACAAAGCCTAGGCATTGAGTAGAGTCATATTCCTCCCACATAGAGAAAAGTTAGGAGCTGGCCCTGTAAATAGTTGCAGATAATAATCAGGTCATTGGTGTATGAACTAGTCTTGCTTCAAATCAAAATCAAAACAACAAAATACATAAGCCTCTGCCTAACCCTCCTCTGTAAACTTGACCTCCCCTGCCTCCGAGGGCTGCTGTTCCCCAGCGAGCTAGTATGGTCCTGCAGGAGCAACATCTGACACGCGCTGCACTGCTGCAGACCAGCCCAGCGGCTGAGGAGTCTCTGGAGGAAAGATGAGGGAAAAGCTGTACGACATGGGGTCAACAGCACAAGCAAACAAGTAATAAATGCTATTTTTAATTTAAGAAAACACAATGTATGGGCATAAAAAATGCATGGTGTTCTTTCTGACCATTTGTGGTGTGCCAGAAAAGATTCAAAATCTTTTGTATTTTTATTTTTTTAATTATTAGAAATTTGTCTGGGTTTTGCTCTGTTTCCTGTGGATAACAGGAAAAATGTTTGCTAAATAGCAGAGGAACAAGCCACTGAAATCTGGTTATCGAGGCAAGCTGTGCAGGTTGTTTAAAGCAGTCTGGTGTCCCTCTCTACTTTGTTCAAGCAACTACAAGGTAAGACAAGTTATCACCAACTAAGCATGCCTGACCCCTCAATAGAAGGGGGGAGTCTTTGTGAGTCTTCTGGGAAATTATCCAGCAAAAGCAGGGAAGACCAAACTTGGCAGTTCTGGTAATTTTATACTGAAAACAAATGAAAAAAAAATTAAAAATAGCTTCCAGTGTCTCTGTATACATAGGCAAACAAAAAAATCTAGAGGAAAAACTAGGGAGAAGCTAATTCAGGCTTTGCAGTTCTCCTTTAAAAGAAGTAATGGACTTCTGTTTAATACATATCCTTAATTAAATGTAAATAGGTCTGAAATAATAATCAGGTAGGAAGAGTACCTGGAATAGTATTAATGGAGTTCATCAGTTGTTCAACTTCAGAGAAATCTATGACCCGCTCTTCAAAGTCTGGCAGTGTTGAAAGCTCTAAATCCACTTCTTTCTTTAAGAATTCTTCTAGCCTGTAATTGTAGGGAAAAAAAAAAGTCTAATTGGAAGTACCATAGTGTTGGAGATACCTTCCTATGATACCTATTAGTAAGAGCAAAAGAACATCAAACTCTAAATTAACAGCTATTTCCTTAAAATAATGTTTTCATAGTTGTACAAAGCTCAGTCTCCCCATGCCCTTTGCTTGGAGATACACGGCCGTACATCAGATCAGTGCTCCAAGATGCCAAACAGAGCTGGATGCTGATGGGACTGAGGGACCATGCTTTGTGTGCCCTACTCACGCAGCGAGCTGGCTGCAGCACACTGCAATCCCACTGAGCAGGTGAGTGAGATTTCCCCAGCACCCCTCTGTGGGAAGCAAGCTATTAGCTCCATGACTTTCATTATTTAGAATTTGTGACACTGTTACTAATTCAGGACCTCATGGTTCTAGGTGTTGTGAATTTGAAACAAAGGGGTATCTTTTCTCTGTGTTTTCATAAATGATGACAGTCAATTTAAATGTATACTTTTTGCAATTGATTTAGTGTGCCTTAAGATTTCTTCCAACTGCTCCAAGATCTTTCAGTATCTGTTTTGAGCTCCCACAGATTGACTTTCTACCCCTCTATACTAATGCATGAAGAAGCCTAATCCCTACATAGGGAGCTCAGTTTTAGGCAGATTTGTATCCAGAGCATTTCTTTCAGGATCATTAGCAATCCTGTTTCTCAGTCACTGAAATTAGGTCCTTATGACTAAACCGAAAACAGTGATTTATTCATGCTCTAACTCTCCCTTTGGGTTTTTTAAAATTGGCTCAAAACTAGTTTTGAGTGTTAAACTTCTTAGAGCAACATTTTCTGCTGCAGTTTGAACCAGAAATACTGAAGATTTCAATAGCTGTAGTAGCTTAGATAACATTTGTGTGCCTGAACAGAGTCCAGAACATGCAAGTGTCTCCAATAACCAGGCCCAATTAGCAGGAAGGAATGTGACACAAAATCCCAGACTTTGATACTACCTGTCAACCATGGTTACTGCTGCCTGTGGAAAAAAGAGAGCGAGCGTTAAAGACAGAAAAGATACATTTCTTGCATTAGTCTACATCATGCTGTTGGCCTGTCATACATGAATTGTCCCAAATGCAGCCCTTAGAGTGAGCTAATTGGCCCTCACCCAGCACTAAGAACAAAGCCGTGCCTAACTGTCCATACAAATGGACAGATCTTGGCTGAATTTACAGTAAGATAACATGCAGTATCAGGCAGTGACCAGTGTCTACCCATCTAGACTCTAGACTGTATCCTTCCTCAAGTGTCCAAAATGCCAACAGATCCTTCACAAACAAAAAACCAACAACAGCTGGGGAAAATAACTTAGTGAAATTATCTGCATTGGAGGCAGTGCATGTTACTGGAAGACAGACGTCTTCTCTCATCCCTGGAGAAACCTAAGCAACTGAGAGCTCATGACCAAGAGCTATTCACTTCTTGGTGAATAATGGTTCCTAGGGGTGATGTAAAATTGTTTACGAGCTAAGAAGACAATAAGGTTATTCCAGAGATGCAGAGGAATGGGAAAAGTCAGCTCACGTGAAGAACTCCGCAGGCTGGAGTGACACAGCAAGCTGATCCATTGCAGCAGACTGGAGGTGTTAGATGTGTTTACTGTCCGGTTCCGAAGTTACTGTGGCTGTGCTATAGAAATGCTCCCACCCACCTGAGTCACAGGACAGCTCAGATTAGAGCAATCGCTCATCAGCAGTGAAAATTCTCATTTTTTTCCAATTATTTTTCTACCTGCTAAAGAAAAATAACTTCTTGACACCTCCTCAACAGTGGGATTCATCCATCACTTTGCAGGAGCTCCTGACGTATTTAGTTTGGAGCCTCCTGTTCAGCTGAACTTTCCAACAAAATGAGCAAGAAAAAGAAACATCTTACAAAGTGGTTGCATCAGCCTGCCTGCTGTGAGCCCAGAATAGAGCAAGAGAGCTGAGCCTGCATGAGGCAATGAACACTAAGTGCTTCCAGAGTTTCCCGAGATAAGCTTTTTAGAGAGAGATCTTCTCTCTGAACCCCAGTGAGACTCATAAATCATTGAGCATCCAGGCTACAATCTTCTGCTGCTGCTTCTGCATTTTGGCCTCGTTGTGTTGCCCCACTAAGTCAATGCCACCATGCCAAGCACCTGGAGCAGTGACAGCACCATGGACCGAGCACCCCAGATGCTCTCTAGAAATAAACCCACTTGGGACTTCCCAGCTGGGGACTACTTGCAAGCAGCAAAGAGCATTTAGAAGGGGCCTTGCAAGTTAAAGCTCTTTACCTTCATAAAATTGGCTTTGTCATTTTCCAGGTAAAGCTCCTGGGTTGTGTCTGTCAGCTCCTTGCAGGTGTCGAGACGTTCCCCACAACTGACCAGCTGCCCATATAAAGCTTCCAGCTTCTGCCTCTTCTCTTCCCCCAGTGCTTCCAACTGTTCTTCGTACTTCTGAGCAAGCACTTGCACTGCATCGTTGTAATGTGCCTCGAAGTTCTGCTCCTGCCTCCCAAAGTTTTCCTGCAAGGCATTTGGGGGTTTGTTCCTTGGTGTCAGGCCTGATCCATAGCTCAGCCAGAGAAAAATCTTACTCAGGTCTGCCTAAAATTCTCCTTGCCAGGGAGGCAATGCCAGTACACAGAAGCTGTAATTTGACTAATTTGCATTTTTTAGGGGTTTATTCTAATCATTCACCCCTACTGAGGCACAAGAGAGTGTTGGATCTGGTTCCAGGCATAGTAAGAGCACCAGAAATTATAATAAAAATAATTATGCAAGTCAACTGTCTCCAGCCTAAGCCCGGGGAGCACAATTAGGGATATATCCTAGCCATAATCTCACAAGTGTTTCCACCAACACAGTCAAGCACATCCTTCCATGAGAGAAACCATGGCAACCCAGTGGGATCCATGGATTCGCACTGGGGGAGCTGAGCAGCTAATGCTGGTATCCTCACTCACTGCTGGAGAAAGCATTAGGAAGGAAGATTTAAGGAGCAGGCAAGGCTTTATTGCCAGTAGCTGCCCACTGCTCAGGCACCGATGTCCTTCTGTGCCACATGCAGCAGAGAAAAGGCAGTAGGTGCCTTGAGTTACTGCTTCAGTTTGACTTGCTACCAGCTGGGCTCCTTCCCCTGGGGCCAAGTTGGCATCAGGCGAGCAGGAGCACAGCCCTTGAAGTGCCGTAGCTTGATGCAGCTGGTCCAAGGGTTTGCCTGTATCTGGCACTTCTGTGAATGAAACTGAGTGAACACGAGGGGTACACTCTGGATGGACTAGTTAGATCACAGTCTTTGGCCATTTAAAACTAAGGTAACCTGAGTGGGGATCACTTTATTTCTGAATGCAAGTGTCTGCACAAATGCTTAATATGGTTTTACTAGCCCACAGAAAAAAATTCATTAGGATGAATTTTCCTGAGTACCTCAGTCTAGGCCAACCCCAAGATAACTCTGTGCTCTGTTACCATAATTACTCACCGTATTAACAACTGAACACTATGACTGTCAAAACTGTTCTAACCACAGTACCACAAAGTCAGCCCAAGAAAAAATGCCTTACCTCTACGGTGATGAAGATTTCCTCCAAGTGACTGGCAAAGTTTTCCATCTGAGCAATCTGCTCTTCCAACTTGCACATATTTTTATGAATCTCCTCCTACCAAAACACCCAGTGTGATTCTTAGTATGTCTGAACACTATTTTTGAGGGACCGCAGTACACTTGTATTACTCTTACCCTTTCGCTTTCCACAGCACTGGGGAGCTGTGCCACCTCATGATCCTTGTGTTCACCAAACAGTTTGTCAAAAGCTCGGATTGGCATCTTGCAGGTAGAGCAAAAAACATTTGCTGCTTCCTCCTCCTCACTGACAGCCTGACTGCTCCACTCATCCGACATGCCGCCACTGCTAAGCCCCTCTCTGGACCATGTGTGGCGCTCAGCCTCATCCTCTGCTCTGGCTTTGCTCTGATCTTCATCTTGAGAAGCCTCACCAGGAAATCCCTGCTGCTTTGTGCTTTGACTTTGATCTTTCACTGGAGAGCTGCTTTTTGATGCATTATATATGGAGCCTTGTGATCCTGCTTCTTCTGTGCGAGCAGGTGGCCATCTGCTTTCCACCATCTCCAGATGTCCTCCAAGAAGCTCAAGCTCTTTTTCTCTATCCTCATCAAGTCCATACATCTTAGCCAACTCTGCAACCTCCTTTTCCAAGTCATATCCAGCTTCTTGCGAGCGCTGAAATTTTTCGCTACTCAATGCAGATTCCTTTCTGGTATCCCCCAGAGATCTGTCTTCTTGACCAGATGGCTCTTCGGGAAAGATATCAAACCTCTCCTTTGATCCATAAAGATCCATGTGATAAAATATCAAGCCTTCAGCCTCACTAGACCCTGGGACTGGTGGGGAAGCTGAACGACTGGGCGACTGGTAACTAGTTTCATACTCTCTTGTGCTGCCAGATCTGGATGACATTGGTATCCTCAGTGGGGCTTTTGAGATGAGTCTCAAACCTGTAAAAGGTAAGAAAGATCCTTAGCTACATACTTAGATATCAAGCATGAGTTTTTCTTGCTTAAAAATATACAGATGGAATAGGTTTGGCTGAGGACTGCTCAGGGCCTGGAGGTAGGCATGGGAAAGACCAAAGCTGATAGTGAAGCCACGGGAAGCTTGTTTTTTCTTGCCTCCATGCAAGCCGTCTCTGGTGTGCATTCTATGTTTTCTGAGTGGCTCATTTGTGACCCTGATGTCTGATTTCCAAACTGTGGAATAGTCCTGTCCTCAGCTCAACACTGCGACTGTGCTTCAGGTGCACGTAGTGCTGTTCTGTGCAATTGGAGATGGCCTGGTTTGAAGTCTGCTCACCCTTCAGCTGCTGTCAACTGCTTTTTCTCAACTGTCAGCCAGGCATACTGTAGGATGCCCTCTCTTGTGACCACTGATGCCATATGACGCAATAGTAAATGCCCTGAAAAATCCTGTTCTGGATTTTTCAAGTTGCCATTCTTGATACTGAAACTTGAGGTTTCTTTTAACATTATTCTCAGTCCAGGTCTCAGGTCCTTTCTACAAAACAGGGAAAAATACTGCCCTTTGGGGGTCCTCAGGTGCTGTGAAAATATGTATTTTAACATAAATGAAGCTCAGAAAAAAGATCGATGATGATCCCCATGATAAAGCATAGAGTAATTAGGAAGCAAGGCAGGTCATTGGCCCCTGAATTGAGAGAAGCCTGCTCTGACCTGGAGCTTGCACACTTTGTTCATTCTGTGCAACGTGGGAGGTGCAAAAAGAGCATATGGATGCGAAATACAAAGCTGTATGATAAAGCAGATGCATGTGGGACAACAGTAAAGGTGCAAGGGCAATCTTAACCCTGACTCCCCAAGCCCACTCTTTCCAACCAGCACGTATTAACAACAGCACGTGAAACAATGCTAGTACAGAGGGACCACATGGTGCTCTGTCAGAGCTGCAACATCCCTGCGGTCCTCCACTGTTCACCAGCACTAACAAAATCGCGGCCACAAAACTACTCAGGTCAATTTTCTCAGCAGTTTACTACTACAATCAAAAGAGTTCATGGAAAGATTTCAGCTGAATATTAATGAACCTATAGTTACATCTAGTCCTAGCTCAGTGAAGCATATGAAAGCTTTAAAACCACTTTCTCGCAGAAAAAAGCCAAAAGGTCAGTCAGACATTAAGGTTACCAGAGCTTCTGCAGAAGCTTTTACATAAGCTTTGCTTTCAAACTGCTTTTTATGGTCTTCGTAGTTTTGAGTACTTGCTATCACTTCAAATTTATTTCATCAATATTTTACTAATATTCCTGAGGATTACTTAGCTAACAAAGTCAACACAGTCAGTGACTTATTAGAAAGCAACTTCTCGAACCAGTGAAAAATGTTAAGAAACTCCCAACTCTCCAGTTTTATATCAATGACTGAAAACAGTCCAGCCTACCAGATCTGCAAGACAACACACACAGAAGTTCAGCGTTTGTCTTCTGGCACTGCAGACATGGGTGTGGATTCTACAGCTAGCAATATCTTACTCTAGACAAAAGCACTGAAGTTAAGCAGAAATACTATTTATGCTAAAGGTGATAAAATAAATCATGCAAATTTTAACATATTAAACAGAGAAAAGGTCTTGACACATACCAGAAAATGTTGTCTGGCTCCCACAAAGACTTTTTTCCCCATAATTATAACAATAAGGCTTGCTTTAGAAGCTACTACTAACTAGAAAAGTGAATTAACAAGTATTTTTCCTACCAAAATGGTAGCAATTAAATTACATAAATTAAAATGAACATAATTAAGCTCATCTGGAACCCTGCTGCCTAAATAAGATTTTCAGATGAGTGCTCAGTGTTTGCTCAGTTTACAGGCACAGATACAATTACAGTGAAGAATGTTTAAGTCCGTGACCATCAATTATCGAAAATATATAACAAAGAATGTTACTGCCTGAACACTTGCCTTCTATCTTAAGACGTCGTAAGTTCTTCTGATAGCTCAGATGGCATCAAACTTCACATTTATTTCCCCTAGTAAAAATTAATTCACACGAAAGCAATTCCCTGCCACTTTCCTATGACTGCAGTTGGAAGACTTATTACCGTAACCCTAGACCGGCTCTTTGCTCAGGGGACATACCAGCAATGAGCAATGGAACAAATATAGATGTGCCCTGGCTGTCCTTCAGCAGCGTGCTGCCTGAGTGTCACCAGGATGAATGTCAAACGCCGAGAAAAGGCTCTGAAGGTTGATTCCTGGATCTGAAGTACTTGGAACAATTATACAGACACCTTGCTAAAGCCAGAGCACCCTCTCACTTTCTGAGCTGGTATTAATAAACGCAGCAGAGTGCAGTCATTGACTCTAGGTGTGATTTCCAAGGCTGTGGTGCTAGGCAGAGTATGGTGTGTGGGATACACAAAACGTGCACTCTGCACAAACTCAAACGGCTGGAGGCATACTTACAGCATTGCTGCATATTTAAATGGAAGTATCTGTTCTGTTCTTTGCAAAAGTTTAATGGCAAAGTCCTTCTCTCTATTAAATTAGCAGAAGCTTTACTATGGGGTTGAGTTGGAATCAAGATCAGATTCTAGAAACAAATATTAAACCCCCAGAATTTAGAAAAAAATCAGAAATCATAATGTTGCATACACTATTATACATATACATACATCCCCACCCTGTATCTGTACGCTAGACCACTGGAAAGCTAATTATAGTGAAGAAAGTGGCCAATGGCCCAGCTAGGGAGGGTTTTCACGGGAACATATCCCCTCAGTCTGCGCTCAGTAGTGGTTCACCTGATAAAAACCAGGCTGTGTATTACCACTGATTATTGTGATTACTGTAGCACTTGAGCTTTACGTATCCACTCAAGCCCACAGTTGTCCAGCATACATAATCTTCTGCTTGTGAACGTGCTACTGAGCCAGCCCTGCTGGCAAGAGGTTTTTAAGCACTTTTGAGACCATTGCATTGTATACGTCTTGAGCTCAGGGGACAGCGCAAGGGGAAACGTCTGTTGGATCTTGTCACAGCTCTGCTTTTTCCTCCTTTTCCAATTAAACTTGGTGTCATTTCCTCACATTTCTAGCAGTGCAATTGTTTGCTGTTTTGGTGAGGAATTACAAGTTAATTACCCACGTAGTCATGATCTCATTGCCGCTGACAGTGCCTCTATCATCTGTGAGATCAGAGAAGAAATGTTTTCACATAAATGGTGTAGCCTTTGCTGAAATGTTAACTTTTATGCTGTCAGACAGATTTTATTAATTTTTCAAACGAGAACTTATTTTTGCCCTTATACTGTTAAGCTACACTATCTTGCAGGCTTAATTTATTGAAAAATTAGTAGTGCCAGCTTTGCTTCCAGAGACTAGAATCTAACATTCTGTTTACCATGAATTAAATTCAGCCTTGCACACAAGGCCTGAATAAGAGATATGTGCTATATAAAAACCCCTTTGCTCCCCGCTCCCTTCAGAGGCCCGTGAGGCGGTATTTAGGCGGTATAATAAGTATGACGGCCTTCAGACTGAGTTTGATTTAAGGACAAGCACCATTTGACTGCAAGGTGGTTTGCGGCCGCGGCCCCTGGGCGTGTGGCACAGCAGGCGCCGGGGCCTGGGGCCACCCGGCACCCCCAGGGCTCGAATGCTGACAGAGGGTAGCGCGCCTCTCTCCATTTTGAAGGGCGGGGAAGGAGTGTGGGGCTTCGGCTGGCAACAACCTGTGAAATTTCACCGGTCCCATGGGAGCGATGCCGGGAAAACCGCTCGCGCACGGCAGCCTTCCCTCCGCCAGCGGCCACGGCAGTCAACGGCCCAAACCCGCGGGGCGCAGG